CGGCCCATGCGATTGCGGACGGCGGGTGCATGCTTCACGAGTGTAGGTTCAAGGCGCTGGTGCATGCGTGCTCGAGACATGGCCCCGGCATAGCAGAAGGTACGCGAGAGTGTATCGATTCGAATGTAAACATTGTAAGGACGATGATGATGATGATGATGATGTGAGAACCATGATGATGATCATGATTATGACGCCCCATTCGCACGTGAAAACACAGGGTCCACCCGCTGTGCCTGCGCATTCCCCTGTAACCTGTGGATTAGGCTAGGCGGAGCCCCCGGGAATAATCGTACTTCTATATCATGGCCTCTTGACCTTGTCAGGGCTGCTAATGGAGACAGGCACACAAAGTGGGATTCGTGATCTCTGGGCCGCGAGACTTCTCATGGACTCGCCGAGACATCAATCTGAGGACTGAGGCCAAAACGAAAATCACTGGACGCAAATCATAAACTTAAACCTGAAACCCTAATTCCTAAACTGCCCCAAACCCTAAAACCTACAGATCTTGGCTTGTTCTGACTTGGCCCCATTCCGGGTCTCAACGAAGCTCCTCACTAAGCACTCACATCTTAAAGCTCATAATATAGGGGCCTTAAAAAGTAGAATAGGGGTTCCTTTAAAGGGGTCCTTTTAAGGGGTTCAAAAACGGAATCTATAAGGGATGTATAGTAGGGTTCTAGGATAGGGGCCTTAATCATTAGAATAGGGTTGCGGGGCCCCTTTTGCTATAATTGATAATAGGGAACACCCCAAAATAGTACAGATAATTATTTAGGAACATTAAAATCGCAAACCGACCAAAAAACAGAGCACCACCCACCCGATGGCTAGATCAAGACTGAAAGAATGATTGCGCTCGGGATCAGAAAGGTTGTGAGGCAAAAGAGGCTTGGAGTTCAGAGTTTCGAATTCCTCCTCAAGGTTAGGACTGCACCTATAGTCTCCCTTGTAGTTCCTTTGTTGGGTTAGCCGTTTGTATCGGTAGGATCCTAGAATATAAATCGGGGTAACCAGAAAAGGGAACTACAATGGAGACTATAGGTAGGATCTAGGGTTCCTAAACCCTAAACCCCAAACCCAACACCCTTAAATTTTCTAAATCGGATCTAGGGTTCCTAAACCCTAAACCCTCGGGTTCGAGCTAAGGTTTGCGGTCTGTGGGTTCATGGCCGCGCCTCAAGACGGACGGGGGCGCCTCCGAGACGACCCACCTGGGAAGGGCACAACATGGTCTAAGTTGGGAGCTTCCGAAATTTAGGGGTACCTTATTGATCCCCTAAAGGGGCCTTAAAGGGATCTATAAAGGTTCAGGTTTTCTTGTACGGAATTTGCGAATATAAGGGGCACTTGATTTGGGGGGTCCTTATAATAAGGATCCTACCATTTAAGGTACCTTTTTCGGGCCCCTTATTTTCAGACACCCCCAAATAAGTGGGCTCGGGTTTTGCCGTAATCTACTTTCGACGCAATACTTTCAACACGTTCAGGAACTTAAGGACGAGTCTTGCTACAAAGCGACACAATGGTTCAGACCTCGCACGCTATGGCTTTGGAAACCACAACGCCCAACACCCCCAAACCATCACAAAGCAGTCCCTATAGCCCTGATCCCTGCTTCGCGACAACAGATCGCGAAGGCTCGAGGGTGTAATATATAACATGATAATATGAACCAAAATATGCAAACCATACGGGTTCTGACATGTTCTGACCCCAAACCAACCCCGTTCAGGCTTTTAGGGTTTAGGGGTTAGGGTTTAGCTAGGGCTTAGGGAACCAAGCCCTGAACCTGAACCAAAAAATTTCAGCTCTGCGTGCTTCAACGTGCACGCATTCGTAGGGCTCGTTCGAACAAGTCACAAACTTCACTATACGATGCTATATTATACTATCCTACATACGTATTATATAAGTCCTAAACCCGAGGTCATACTGCTGAGCTTCAACCGGCCCTAGCCCGCGACCCTAAACCCCTAAACCCGAAAAGCCCCAGGCCCTAAACCTTAGACCCAAACGAAACATGGCGTGACAATTTTTCCCCAATTAGCAAGAACCATGTAAAGTACCCCTTGTGAGGAATGCTTCGCATTTAGGGTTTAGGGCCGTTTAGGGGTTAGGGCTCCGCAATTGTCACTTGTCATAGCAACAGTCACTCATTCACAAGGAAAGCCATTACTTATCATGCTCATCACTCCCATAGCTGGCCGCCGCCCTTCTCTCCTCGTAGTTACTGCAGCATGTTTCTGCCACTCTCCTTGCTAAGTCTGACACAAAACCCCCACATACAAGCGGTCTAGGATTAAGGGGTCCTAAACCCTCAACCTTGAAGGAGCTTTCCCACCTGCTGCGTCATAAGTGTGTGGATGGTCGGAAACACCTCGAGAATGAAATGCAGCGGTCCCTCTACTTAGAATAGGCTTTTGGGCCTTTGGGTATACTGTTATGGTATAACTATGGTAGGGTGTAGGGCACCCCCCCTACACCCTAAACCTGACACCCTATAAACCCCTAAGGATGTGGGCCGTCGAACTTTGAGGGGAAGAAGGCTCGGAATCCTGCCTGTGAGGAGCGTAGGATTGACGGCTTAAGGGTTTTCGGGTTTGGGGGCTTAAGGTCCAAGGACTTAGTTGGGAGCAACTCATAAAAATTCCATCAACCTGACAAAAGCATCACCCCAGAAGCTCAGAGATTAAGCCGAAAACGCTGAAGCCCTAGACTCCGACCTCTCAACCCACACCGCTTGTGCAGAGGCTTGAGGTGCGGCTGATGATATAAATCCTGCATTACCCATCATACGGAATATACCATAATTCCCATAGTGAAGGGTCCGAAAAGTAATGCAGGATTTTTATCATCAACCCCAAACCCTAAACCTTAAACCCTAAAGCCCTATAGATCCCTTAAAGGGGCCCCTGAAAGGTTCCCTTATAGATCCCACAAAAGGAACCCTAGGATTTATACCATCAACAGTATCCCCAGCAATTCTTCGCCTCGATAGCTATCACCTCCAAACACATTAAAACCACACCCCAAAGTAATTTTCGGGTGCATGCACTGCTTCTATTACCCTAAACTTTGGCCCGAGGCCCTGAACGCTAAACCCTAAACCTTGGCCTTTAACCCTGAACCCTCAGTGCAAATATGGGAGTTTCCAGAAATCAGGGGCTATCTTATCTTGGAGTCCTTCTAAGAAGGATCCTACTATTTTGGGTACTATGTTAGGGTCCCCGATTTTCAAAATCTCCCCATATAAGTCTCCCCAGACCCGCGATTCGAAACTGAAGCTCCTCTTAAGGGCCATTGATGGCCAATAAAACCTTCAAACCCTAAATCGGTTTAGGGTTCAGGGTTTAGGGTTCAGGGTTTAGAGTTCAGGGTTCAGGGTTCAGGGTTCAGGGTTTAGGGTTCAGGGTTTAGGGTTTAGGGTTCCGCAACTAAAACTCCTACCCCTCGGGTGCCTCGAAAGCGTACTCCCGGCCCTCCATGTTCGTGTAGGGAAGGCCCTGGACCTGTACGATCAGTTTAGGTGGGTCTAGGACTCTGGGTGTCTAGGTGTCTTTTGAAAACAAGGAAGACCAATCTAAATGGGAGTTTCCGAAAATTAGGGGTACCTTATTTTGGGGTCCTTATAATAGGGATGCTACTATTTGTGGTACTATATCAGGGTCCCCGAGTTTTCGGAACCTACCAAGTTGCCACAGTGACAACACGACGAAGAAGCCTCAAGTCGTCGCTTTCGGGGGCAAGAAGCGAAGAGAACCAGATCAAGCTGGATTTTAAAGTTTAGGCTTTAGCGGTTTAGGGGTAAGTTGAGGGTTTAGGGGTTTAGGGGTTTAGGGGTTTAGGGGTTTAGGGGTTTAGGGTTTGAAACTCGCAGGACAAGCTGAACGTCCGCACTTTGGGGTGGGCACAACATTAAGCTCCAAAAAGGAAGGAGAAACCACCCGTCCTCCCATCCCATCACTTTTCTGGGGGGGGTGGAGGAGGAAAACGAAAATACAATCAGAAACAAACACATGTGTTTGATGATACGGAAAACCTTTCTAAGCTCCGAGAAACAAGCGGGAGAAGTTGCACGTCCTCTGTTATGGCGGAAAAAGCAGCTAAAACTGAAATGTGTAGGGCCGCAGGAACCCTACACCCTACGGTTGACGAAATCAATCCTGCATTACCTTAAGGACCCTAAACTATGGGAGCTATGGTATATTCCTTATTATTATGGGTAATGCAGGATTTACATTATAAACTAGAAGGGGCCCCCACCCTGTAATAGTTGTAAAATAGGAATATAATAGGGCCCTAATATAATCCTTATAGTCACTATTTCAGGGTGGGGGCAGCTTCTAAACTATGAACCCTAGGGATTACATGAGGCTTCCAAGTCGGTACGAGCAGATCCAGTTTACCCGTGGGCTTCCCAATAAATCCCGTCTTCCGGACGACAGAGGGTCCTTGAGGAACCCTACTTGGAGGGGCAGGGGACTTAGTAAGTAGGTTATAAGTAGGGTTATAGTTGGGGTAACTCCATTTGAAATACTTATAACCCTACTGAAAACCTACTTACTAAGTCCCCTGACCCTCCAAGTAATATGGGGGCCTAAATAATTACCGAGACTATTTTAGGGGTTCCATATCATCGTCATAGTATGATTCTAATTATTCAAGGCTTTATATTAAATCATAAACCAAAACCGAAGCTCGAACAGCAATGCCTGCACAGTACCACATTCGGAGGCTAAAGTCCATTCCTTAAGACGTTAAACAACCCTTTTGAAAACCCTGTCAGTACCTCAAAACCTTCATCAAGCCCAATAAGCCCCATAAGCCCTGTCGGTCCAGTATAAAACCGTCTCAATCATTAACCGTTCTCAATCATTCTCAATCCTTTCTAAACAGACCTCGAAACACAGTCAATCCTCTAAATCCCTGCTAATGAACCTGCAAAAGTCGTATGAACCCTCTACAACCGGGCGACATTAAGTCTTCTCGAGTGCTTATGAAACTCTCCGAAAAGCGACCTCCCATGCAGATCGGCCGAAGCCGATGGAGGCGTCGTCATCGTTGCGCGAGACGACGCCATCGTGCCGCAAAACATACGTGAAGTTGTAATAACCTGCCACAGACAGAGACTCCACAACCAACACACAGCCAACAGCTGGCTTAAAATATGGAGGGATGATTTCCGAGCTGATTATACATTTTCAAGCACGATCCTTCATTAAAAATACGAACCCAATGCTTTCTGAGAGATGTAGGCGGAGTAATCCAAGGGCTTGGTCTGGTCGTGTAGCCCCTCATTCAGTTTGAAAGAGTTTAGGGTTTAAGGTTAAGGGTTTGGGGTTTATAGAGCGTTTTATGAGGCTGCTTGGAAGAGATTCATGAAGCTTTGTAGTTACTCAGTCCTTTGGTCTCTGGAGTTTAGGACATTTTAGGACTCAGGTTTAGGGTTCAGAAACGACAGAATGTATAGGGGTTTGGGTTCAAGGTCTCCATATTTTCAGAGGTTTTCGAAGTCCTTCAGGTTCTACATACCCCAACTTCCACATCTCGCTAAGCTCGGCGTGATGCCGCCCGGCACCGCCCCGAACTGCCACGCTTCAGAACCACAAAGTTTACTTCGGGTTTTCAGGTCCCCACCAACCCCAACCGCCGCAAAATCACGGAACTAGACCTCTCGAACACACTAAAGCCTAGACTTCATAAACCTCAACCGCTAAACCCCAACCCTCAACGACCCGGCGGCTTCAACTTAACAAGAATCCCTAAACCCTAAACCCTAAAACCCTAAACCCTAAACCCTAAACCCTAAAACCCTAAACCCTAAAACCCTAAACCCTAAACCCTAAACCCTAAACCGCAAGATGCCTGCGGGAGTCCCAGAAGACACTTCGCACACCTCGGCGTCTTCTGCCGCGTTCGGGGCTTCACTGTTGCATTGTATGGGATATGACGGTTTAGGGTTTAGGCTTTAGGGTTTAGGGTTTAGGATTTAGGGTTTAGGGTTTAGGATTTAGGTAATTGGGTTTAGGATTTAGGGTTCAGGGGTTTGGGTTTAGAGACTTAGGGGTTTGACCTGCTTGTTGAGGGGTCCTTGGGATGCCTGGAACGTTAAAATACCTAACCTCTAAACCCTGAACCTTACATACGTAGTTATACGGGTTCCTTTAAGGGTCCCTTTAAAGGGATTCTATAAGGGTATAGGGTTTAGGGCTTACTTGGAGGTTCAGGGGTAGTCATAAGTGGGGTTGTAAGTCCCCTAATATGGATTTTAAGTATAGTCACCCTACTTAAAACCCTACTTATAAGTACCCATGCACCTCCAAGTAGACCCTACAGCCCAAACCCAAACCCCAAACCCTACAGTACCTGAAGCCTAGATCCTTTGAAACTTATGACTCCCTGTAGATCCCTCATAGACCCTTAAGGATCTCCTCTAGATCCCAATAGATGCTCAAAGTATCTTGATGGAATATAATGTTGGCCGCGCTCGTGCCTCATCGATATCGTAAGAGATGAGGGAGGGCTTCTGTGATAGTGAAATCACACGTAGAACGAACACAGTAAAATCCGGGCCACTTCCGTCTCCTTCGCTCTTCGCTTCGGAACAGCAGGAGCTGGTGTGGCAACTTCCTCCGTCGCGGGCACCTCATCTCCAGATCGACAGGGTCGATCGGAACAGCGGGAGCGGGTGTGGCGACTTCCTCCGTCGTGGGCACCCCCATCTCTTCATCATCATCGACAGCGCCGATGAGGTCGATCAGGGCTTCAAGCTCCAGCGTACACGCCGGTCTTCTACCGCAGGCTGCAGTCATTAGAATATTCATGAGTTTAGGGCTTTATTGGTTTAGGGTTTAGGCTTTAGGGGATGGATGGATGTAGGTATGAATGCATGTGCAGCGTAGCATATATAACTAAATGCAGATTCATATGTATGCTCTTAAAGGCTTGCATACGATTTCTAATACGTGTAGAGTTTAGGGTTTAGTGAATAGGGTATAGGGTTTAAATCTGAAGATACATTGTATGCTACCCTGCGAAACATATGCCTACTGCATGATGCCTGCTGCAAGAACAACCCCGAATCAACCCCAACCCCGCGACGCAAACCACTCTAACCCTAAACCCTAAACCCCGATCCCAAGGCCTTACAGTCCAACCTGTAAACTATTCGAAAAGTCGCTAGCTAGCAGGGTTCAAGGCGCGTTCCACAAGTCTAGACTACGCAATACAAAGGCCGCCACCCACACCCTAAGCCAAAAAATGAAGAACCAAGCAAGCAAAGCCTCTGGTCTTGGGATTCGGGTCTGTCTTCGGAAGCCTGGATTCTACCCGTAATGTCTCAGAACGCAACAGCCATGGAAGCCATAAACCGTAAACCCGAACACCCCCCCTAAACACTAAACCCTAAACCCTAAACCTTAAACCCTCAACCCTAAACCACAATCCTGAACCCCCAAGAGGCCCCCGGCCCCATTTTGGATGGTAGGGGTCTCGATGATGTCGCAGCGGAACTCCTCGCGGCCGCCTCCGCCGCGCGGTTTTTCGGGTTTTGGGGGCTCAAGATCTTAGGTTTGGGGTTCAGGGTTCTTTGGGGGTTTGGGGTTTAGGGTTCTTTGGGGTTTGGGGTTTAGGGGTTGTAGGGTTTCAGGGTTTCAGGGATTTGGCTACTAGGGTCTGGGGTTTGAGGTTTCCGGTCTTGGGGCTTAGTTTTGGGGTTTTTTAAGGTCTTAACGCTTAGGGTTTTAGTTCGCGGTTCAGGGTTTGGAGTTTAGCTTGTCAGGACTTCAGGCTTTCGGGCTTGGGGGTTGGGTTCAGGGTTGAAGTTTAGGGTTTAGGGTTCCCTAAACCCTAAACCCTAAACCTGGCGAGACTTTGAGGCTTTACAGGGCTTCGGGCTTCGCGCTTTGGAGCTTAGGGGTCTTGAGTTCAACTCCAGATGGGAGCTTCCGAAAATAGGGGGACCCAATATAGTACCCCAAATAGTAGGATCTTCCAAAATTCGGCAACTCCCTACAATAATCCCCATTATAGAACCCTAATAGATCCCTTTAAGGACCCCCTTAAGGGAACCCTGAGGTACGCCCTAACTTTCGGAAACTCCCAGATCGATCCTTGCAGGGTGCAACAGCGTCCGTCACTACGAGTCGGGTGTTTCACATACGTAGTTATACGGGTTCCTTTAAGGGTCCCTTTAAAGGGATCTATAGGGACTCTATAAGGGTATAGGGTTTAGGGCCTACTTGGAGGTTCAGGGGTAGTTATAGGTGGGGTTACAAGTCCCCTACGTAATAAGGGTTGTAAGTGTAGTTACACCCCACTTATAACCCTACTCATAAGTACCCATGAACCTCCAAGTAGACCCTACACCCGAAACCCAAACCCCAAACCCTACAGTACCTGACATCTAGATCCCTTGAAAGACTCCCTGTAGATCCCTCATAGACCCCTAAGGGCCTCCTCTACAGGGACTTGAAAGGTCCTAAACCCCATACCCTTATAGATCCCTTTAAAGGGACCCCTAAAGGAACCCTTAAAAGGTCATCATTTCCAGTTTCTCAGACCTGCAAATTCGCTCTTCGGGCGTCTCTCTATCGGCTTTCGACGCCTCGGGGAGCCGAAGGAACCACAGCCGAAAACAAAAAAATAACTAGAAGACAATTGGCCCGAAAGCATCATCAGCGAAGAGTGTGGGGCTATGTGATAGATCCAGTGTGTAGGATCGTATGCAGATACAGTCAAGAGTCATGGAGTCCATGAGTCATGAGTCATAAAGTCATAGAGTTACAGTGAGATAGCGTCATAGAGTCATAGTGAGATCAAGTCACAGAGTCATGGAGTCATCTATGTAGCATGCACTTGACTCGATGTAGTTCACTCTATGCTCTATGTGTGGGAACGCTTAATCGAGATCCCCGTAGCGTGGTGGCTCATAGCCCGACCGGGACCTCGAGATGCAGATACAGTCAAGAGTCATGGAGTCCATGAGTCATGAGTCATAAAGTCATAGAGTCTATTTCATAGAGTTACAGTGAGATAGCGTCATAGAGTCATAGTGAGATCAAGTCACGAGTCATGGAGTCATCTATGTACCATGCACTTGACTCGATGTAGTTCACTCTATGCTCTATGTGTGGGAACGCTTAATCGAGATCCCCGTAGCGTGGGGGCTCATAGCCCGACCTGGACCTCGAGATGCAGATACAGTCAAGAGTCATGGAGTCTATGAGTCATGAGTCATAAAGTCATAGAGTTACAGTGAGATAGCGTCATAGAGTCATAGTGGGATCAAGTCGCAGAGTCATGGAGTCATCTATGTAGCATGCACTTGACTCGATGTAGTTCACTCTATGCTCTATGTGTGGGAACGCTTAATCGAGATCCCCATAGCGTGAGGGCTCATAGCCCGACCTGGACCTCGAGAGGCACATACAGTCAAGAGTCATGGAGTCCATGACTCTTGACTGATGTATCTATCTATCTATATATATATATATATGTATATATATACATATATATATATATATATATTTATGCATTTATGCATATATATATATATGTGTATATGAGTATATTATTCTTATCGATATATGCATTTGCCAATCCTGCCAATCCCTCTGAAAGGTTGCCAATTCACCTGTTGCACACCTACCGATTAGAACAATCGAAGAAGCAAATCCCTCTCAAGCCAATCCCTGTGAAGGGTTCCGCGAGCACCGCAAAATGTGTAACTTCACCTCGCGTTCAAGCACTCGACAACGCCAATCCGTGTGAAGGGTTGCAAAATTCATCTCAATGCACATCAGAAATTGCAACTTTACCTCGCGTTCGAACACTCCACCACACCAATCCCTGTGAAGGGTTGCAAAATTCAGCTCAATGCTCATCAAAAATTGCAACTTTACCTCGCGTTCGAACACTCCACCACGCCAATCCCTGTGAAGGGTTGCAAAATGCCAATCCCTGTGAAGGGTTGCAAAAAAAAATGAACTGCACCCAAACCCTGTGAAGGGTTGCGCGGCGCCCGCAAAATGTGTAACTTTACCTCGCGTTTGAACACCCGAGGCAGCGAATCCCTGTGAAGGGTTCACGGCGCCCGAAAAATGTGTAACTTTACCTCGCGTTTGAACGCCCGAGGCAGCGAATCCCTGTGAAGGGTTGCACGGGCACCGAACAATGTGTAACTTTACCTCGCGTTTCAACGCCCGAGGCAGCGAATCCCTGTGAAGGGTTCACCCGGGCGCCTAAAATGTGTAACTTTACCTCGCGTTTGAACGCCCGAGGAGGCGAATCCCTGTGAAGGGTTGCACGGGCACCGCATTAAGTTAAAAAATGTGTAACTTTACCTAGCGTTTGGGCCCTCGCCCATGCCAATCCCTGTGAAGGGTTCACCCGGGCGCCTAAAATGTGTAACTTTACCTTGCGTTTGAACGCCCGAGGCAGCGAATCCCTGTGAAGGGTTCACCCGGGCGCCTAAAATGTGTAACTTTACCTCGCGTTTGAACGCCCGAGGAGGCGAATCCCTAGGAAGGGTTGCACGGGCACCGCATTAAGTTAAAAAATGTGTAACTTTACCTAGCGTTTGGGCCCTCGCCCATGCCAATCCCTGTGAAGGGTTCACCCGGGCGCCTAAAATGTGTAACTTTACCTCGCGTTTGAACGCCCGAGGAGGCGAATCCCTGGGAAGGGTTGCATTCCCGATGGACGACAACGGTGCCACCCCTGGCTTTAGAAGAGAGAATTAGATACCGAGATGTAGAGAGTAAGTCATAGAGGCATAGAGTCAAGTAAGTAGAGGCATAGAGTCAAGTAAGTAAGTAAGTAAGTAAGTAAGTAAGTAAGTAAGTAAGTAAGTAACTAAGCAAGTCAAGTAAGTAAGTATAAGTAAGTATAAGTAAGTATAAGTAAGTATAAGTAAGTATAAGTAAGTATAAGTAAGTATAGAGATAGCATAGAGTCCAGTGTCAAGTGTCAAGTAAGTTAGTAAGTAGATTGAAGTAAGTAAGTAAGTAAGTAAGTCGTAAGCATAACATACAGTCAAGTATCAAGTGTAGAGTCAAGTATCATAGAGTCAAGTGTCAAGTGTAGAGAGTCAGTCATAGGGGTCAAGTAAGTAAGTATCAAGTGTAGAGTCAAGTATCAAGTGTAGAGTAAAGTATGGAGTCAAGTAAGTTGATTCTATGTCTGTCATCTATGTACTCAGCTGCGGCGTTCCACACGGAAGAACCCTTCGCGATGCTTTCGGGAAAAATAAACGTGTTTCAGCGAATGGCTGTAATATTTAGGGTTTAAGACTTAGTAATCCAAAAAAATGAACCCTTACTACGTATACCTTCAATGGAAAGAAACCCAGGATAGACCATGCCAAAGACTTTCAAATGCGCAATTGGCACCCCGCGGAAATAGTACTATAGCAACCGCTTGAAGATATCACATTACATTACACTACAGCATGTTATATTTGTAATACATTATAGTACAGTCTTACCGCTGATGGACAAAATCCTGCATCACCCTTTATAAGGAATATACCATAGTTCCCATAGTTTAGAGTCCTTCGGGTCATGCAGGATTTTGTCCATCAGCAGTATGATAGTATATATAACACGGCAAGATCGCAGGATCGGGGCTGGAGCTTCCGTGCTTTAGGGCTGCCGGCTGTGGGATGCTCGGATTAGGGATTTAGGGCCTAGGGCGTTTACAATGTATGGCTTAGGACTTAGGGTTTGGGGTTTCAGTTTTTAGGGTCCACAGATATGCCCCCAAAAAAGATGCCTAAACTAAAAAACCCTGCAAACCCTCATGATGACCTAAACCCTATACTAAACCCTAAACCCTAAACTAAACCCTAAACCCTAAACCCTAAACTAAACCCTAAACTAAACCCTAAACCCTAAACCCTAAACCCTAACCCCTAAACCCTAAACCCTCTTAGCAGCCTCTGAAAGACCTGTGCGTTTTGCTGGGCCTTTGTCGGCCAATACTTCCAGGCCCGTGCCGAGGTAAGCATGCATGATCTCCGTGGCGTTGCGCTTCTCGCCTCCATATGCTTTGGGCTTAGGGTAAAAAAATTGGGTATTAGGGTATTAGGGTATTAGGGTACAAGGGTATTAGGGTATTAGGGTTTAGGGTTTAGGGTTTAGGGTATTAGGGTATTAGGCTATTAGGGTTTAGGGTATTAGAGTTTGGGGTTTGGGGTTTGGGGTCGGGTTCTAGACGGGGTTATACAAGCGGTTTTATGAGGGTTCTATAAGGTGTCTAGCAAAGGGCTCTATCAGGGGCCTGAGCAAGGGTTCTGCCAGGGTTACTGCAGCGGTGCTGCCACCAGGGGTTGGGGTGGTTCAGGGATCTTCAGATACTTAAAGGATCAAGCGACTTAGTGAGCAGGTTAAGGTCTAGGGTTTAGGGGTTTAGGGGTTTAGGGGTTTAGGGGTTTAGGGTTACGGTTACGGCATTCAGCGGTTTACGGATTCAGGGTTTAGGCTTTACTTGCATGAAGACTACAGGACACCAGCCAAACCATACACTCACCGAAGACTTCATGATCAGGATAGGCTCAGGATGGAATATAACATAACTGGAGTCATAAGCACGCTAAATACGGCAGTCATGATTATAGCCCTCCTTGAAAGTTATTTACAAAAGTCCCCTGATCCTGTACGGAGAAAAAACTTGAGTGCTTCAGCTCGCAGAGTGGCCCAAGGATGGATCTGGCCAAACAGGCAGGGGTTAGGGTTTAGGGGTGTAGGGTTTCGGGTTTAGACCCCCTTTAGAGGGCTGGACAACGAGGGTGTAGGGATTTTGGCTTTCAAAAGGCACGGGCTCATTGGGATGAAGGTCCGTCTGAGGCGACCGGGTCTAGGGTGATTAGAGCGTCGGGAATCAAGGTTTAGGGCTTATCCGTAGCCCAAAAAACCCTACCTCCTCGTTATGGCTTCATTATATATGGACATGTAGGCTTCTTTGGGATACAGGAAAGCCCAACCTCCAAACCCACTCAGCCTGTGTCAAGAAAGATTTCCTGCTGGTTCAGGTCCAGCACTTTTTTGAGATCTCCTTCCCAAGTCACCTGGGCGGGGTTTAAGCTTTGGGGCTTGGGATGTACAGGTTGGGGTCTATAGGGTGGGGTTTGGGGGTCTGGAGTTCGAGCCTTAAGGTTCAGGGCATGGCGTAACCCACCACGTACCTTCAGCGCAGTGTCACGACTCCGAAACCCGAAGAGAGAGAGACCCTAAACCCTAAACCCTACACCCTAAACCCTAAACCCCTAAACCCTAAACTCCTAAACCCTAAACCCCTAAACCCTAAACTCCTAAACTCCTAAACCCGAAACCCCTAAACCCCTAACCCCTAAACCCTAAACCCTAAACCCCTAAACCCTAAACTCTAAACCCCTAAACCCGAAACCCGAAGCACGCGAGACGGAACCATCGAATGGGATCGTGCGAGGCCTGAGGTCCCCAGAGACCCCTGCAGAAGAGTTTGGGGTTTGGGGTTTAGGGTTTAAGGGTTTAGGTTTCAGGGTTTAAGGGTTTAGGGTTTAGGGTTTAAGGGTTTAGGTTTTAGGGTTTAGGGTTTAGGGTTTAAGGGTTTAGGGTTTAGGGTTTAAGGGTTTAGGTTTTAGGGTTTAGGGTTTAGGGTTTAGGGTTTAGGGTTTAAGGGTTTAGGGTTTAGGGTTTAAGGGTTTAGGTTTTAGGGTTTAAGGGTTTGGGGTTTAGGGTTTAAGGGTTTAGGTTTTAGGGTTTAAGGGTTTGGGGTTTAGGGTTTAGGGGGGGTGCCTTAAGGTGACTTAAGATATCTTCCTTCATCAAGGGCTTCTGGAATCTCTCGGCAAAGTAAAGGGCCCAAGGGGCCAGCACGGGATCTCCTTGGAGGCTCAGGGGACTTCAGAATCAGGATACAAGTGAGCTTTATGTAACATAGAGTTTGGGGTTTAGGGTTTAGGGTTAAGATCAAGTCATCCTAGTTCTAATCCTGCTTACCAAGTCCGCTGACGTAGGATTCTCCTTCCACAATGCACGGCAAGGCGGAGGTCTTGAGAGCGTTGGCCATGCAACCCAGAGACTCCAATATCCCTTAATTAAGGAATAATCCTTAAGCCATATTAGGGGTCCGATTATAATTTAAGGTATATTCCTTGATTAACGGGTTTTGGAGGCTCTGGGTCGGTAGGGGGTTCGGCCTTCGACACACCAGCTCTTGCGGCGGCCAGAAGCGGCGAGATGAGATACATCCTGCGTAATGCTCCCATGGCAGGCCCGTGGGTCTGCGGAATGAACAAGCCGGCCCACCATGGGCCCTTCGGAGACCCCAAAACCTTGCCTCACACTCACTGGTCTTCACCAGATTGATCAATGACAGCGGTGTCTTCCATGTCAAAAGCCAAAAGCGTGGCAGGGGGAGTCTTTGACTCTTCGACCCTCTCCTTGGTGACATTGGGTGCGACAGTGACACTGATTTCCTCGGCGAGATCTGGGTCCGACCTCCGCCGGACCAAGAGGCTTCTGAAGACGTCGATTTGGGTAGTTCTCTAAATTAGGGTCCCTTTCAGGGTCCTTGTTATGAGGGTGCCGTACTGTATTGGGGGCCTACAGAGGGACCGTAATTTGGAGAATTACCCATTTAAGAAGATACCTGAGATCATACCAATGACCCCTCTTTCATCTAAGGTATGATGCTGACATGAAGGGCTTAAGGAGTCCACGAAACCCAGCCCCCTAGGCCCCGAAACGCAGAGTGTCTAAACCTTGAGCACATGTCCAGATCCACCACATGTAGGATGGGTCACTTGGCAACTAGGAATTTGCAAAAACTGATTTTGCTTTACTTTTGCCCATAAGCCCTAAACTCTGAACCCTAAAGAGAAAAATGAAATTCAAAAACTGGAGATTCCTTGTAGCATCCTCATAATGTGTTTTTTGGAATTTATGGAAAATGTTCGAAGAATTTGCACGTTTTATGCAAGCTAGTTTTTATAGAAACTTACAAAGAAGTCTCTTATAGAACCTACAGTAGCCCTTATAGAACCGGTACCCCTTAAAAGAACCCTTTCGGGAAACTTAATGAAGAGCTTATGACCTCCCCAAACCCTAAGCCCTAAACCCCAAACCCCAAACCCTAAATCCTAAACCTTAAACCCGAAACGAGAAACCCTAGGGTTCGAGGGCTTAAGGTTTAGGATAAGGTCGGGGGCTCTGCGGATGCTTCGAACGGGACGACCGTAGGATTGTCATCAGGGGTATACGACAGAGCTGTGCGGTTCTGAGGGTTTTTCCAGGTTTTGTAGAATGTTTTCGGGTTTTGGTAGTGGTTTGAGAATAAAGAAGTCGGAATCATCAGTCCGCTATACTTCAACAAATACGATGCTATAGCATGGCATACCACAAAACCCTCGTCCAAGTGGAAAGCAAGCTATATCTCGTCATGCGCGGTGGAAGTGGCAGGGTTGGAGGCTGCACACACCCGAGAAACAGATCACCCCCACACTCCTCTGCCATTCTCCGCTTCTCATCACGAGCCCCAATACACTCTAAACCCTCAAGAATGGACCCGTGAAACTTAAACTCCAAACTCGAACTTTTAACTCTAAACCCTTATCCCTAAACCCTATAGCCTTCAAGAATCTTATCCCTAAACCCTGTATAGACTTCAAGAATCTTATCCCTAAACCCCTTCGCCTTCAAGAATCCCTAAACTAAAGGCTCTCAAACTCCTAAATACCCCCCAACTCAACTTAGAGCCCTGAGAGCCTGAAGACTCTAAGTCACCGAACCCGAGAGACCCAAGAACGCATTACTTGGAGGCCCTTTTGACTTAGTAAGTCTACTTAGTATCCCCTAGAAACCCTATTGTAATCCCCATAACTTACCTTACTAACCCTACTTACTAAGTCAAAAGGGCCTCCAAGCAAGGGTTCTTCAAAAGAATGGGGTTTAGGGCTTAGGGTTTAGGGTTTCTGCAGGGGTTCTTCGAAGAATGGGGTTTAGGGCTTAGGGTTTAGGGGGACTAAACTTTACAGGGTGCTTAATTTACAACCAAACCCGATCCTAAACCCTGAGCACTGAACCCCTAAACCCTAAACCCTGAACCCTAAAGCACCCATCTGACTACGAGACCAGGATCCCTTCAAAGCTCGGTTTTTCGGCAGATTTGGGGCCTAGGGTGCAGAGGAAAGAAGTTGAGGGTTTAGGGTTTCGGGATCAGGGTTTAGGGTTGAGGGTTTTGGGTTTAGGGGTTTAGGGTTTGGGGGAATGGAGATCTATGTTTCAGGGTTTATGGTCTTTCCAAGCCCCGCAGCATTGTCAATAACCGCCGCGGCATGGGTAATGTGAGTCACGGTCGGTGTATGCCTGCCAAGTCTTCAGCTTCCTTCAACCTGAAAGCCTAGGCCAGAAATCCTAAACCCCTATCCCTGAACCTCAAACCTTAAACCCACAACCCTAAGTCCTAAACCTTGAACTCCTACCCGGACCCTAGGAAACCACCTTTTTTGGTTCCTTAATACGATTTGTTATGTAAGTCCTGAACAAGGTGGGAGCTTCCAAAAATCAGGGGTGCCTTATTTTGGGGTCCTTATAACAGGAACCTACTACTTGGAATACTATATTGGGGTCCCCTATTATCGGAAACTCCCACGTAGGTTTGGGGCAAAGGTACCACTACTTGGAGGGGCAGGGGACTTAGTAAGTAGGTTATAAGTAGGGTTATCATTGGGGTAACTCCATTTAAAATACAACCCTACTTATAACCTACTTACTAGTCCCCTGCCCCTCCAACCAGGCCCAAAGCTCTAAAACAAAGACGCGCGCGGCACTAAGTTTTTGCAACAGTGCTGGCCTTGACAGAACTTAATTGGGTTAAGGGCCAGGGTGTAGGGTTTAGGGTTTAGGAGTTTAGGGTTTAGGGTTTAGGGGCTAGGGTGTAGGGTTTAGAGTTTAGGGTAGATTCCTATTAGGCCTTATTAAGCGGTATCAAACATAGCAAAGAGTCTTGAGGAACAGTATTGCTAGTCATT